TTCCCACTAGTTTCTAACATCAACTTTATTTTCCTTCTCTGAAAGTCATTTAAATTTATTTCGTCTACAACAACGTCGAAGATAAGAGACATCTTTCTCTCATCGCATTGTCTATGCACTTTATTCATATTATTTAATTTTTTTTTTTGGACTGAACTCTCAACTACAATTATGAAAAGTATTTTTCTTATTTAATTTTAATTGAACTGAAGATTTGTATATTTTTCTTTCGCTTATATCAATTTTATATTGTTTTTATCAAATGTCATTCTTATATAATCTTACATTATTATTATAGCTGTAATACATTATTTTTCGTTCTGGACACTAATATAATATATAATCTTAATTATTATTCGTTCTGGATACTAACATTCTTTTGTTGACAAATTTTCTAACAAGACGAAGATTTTTCAATTGATACCAACAATTTGATCTTGACATTGCGAAGTATATTTTCATTTGCCATCGACCGTACACAATATAAGTTTTTACTTCTTTGACAAATGTATTTCTAATATATTTTATGTGACGTTTACTGTTTCGCTGAACTAACAAGATGAAGATTTCTCTAATTTTATTGATATCAATTATATACAATAGTTTTTCAATGCGAAGTACATGTTTAAGCTTCGATCGATTTTATGTTATGTTTTTTACCATTTAGACATATTTTGTAAACATTGATAATGATTCGATTGTGATCGAAACATTTGTTGTTGTTGGCCGGCATGTTATTAAATTTCATAATTTATTAAGATTTTTACTTATCTACCAATTTTTATAAATCAAAAACTTTTGGCTCGTAGCCCTTTTGCCTTTAACTTGTTTTTAAATTATTGAGCCATTATATATATTATACTATTATATATTAATAATAATAAAAAAAAAATAATCAAAATTAATAATAATCAAATGCACCTAAAAAATAAAAAAGTAAATATTTATATTTTAGTCACTGCTTGATAAGATCAAAACTGAATCTTGCTGCTTAATGATATTTATATATAAATTTACATTTATCAGTTCATTTTAAAACTGCATTATTTTCGAATATAAACGCAATCATGAACTTTAATCTTTAGCATGATAAATATAAATTTATAAATAAATATTATTAGGCATTGAGATCTAGCTTTGACCGTATCTGGTGGTGATTATTATGTAATATGATCCACTAAAACAGTTGTTGGAAATTTATATTCTATTAGGGCATATCCACACAAACTAGCATAATCGCATAATGCATAAAGAAAATTATTTAATCACATTTTACATGCGTCTTTATAGAAGAAATGCGATTAAATAATTTTTTTAATGCATACGTTTATGCGGCAATGCAAATTTGTGTGGATATAGCCTTACCTTGCTTTCTGTAAATGAAGAAATATTACACAAATTTACACAACTTTTATGTAAATAAATAATTTACTACGCTTCTATTAAAATAAATATTTATTTCAAGGTAAAAAATTGTGACAATAATTAATACAATAAGGACTTTCAATAAATATGAAGTCATAAAAAACCATTGCTGATTATAACAAGATTGTAACAAGTTGACCAGTGATTTGGTTAAATAGACATTATAGAGTATGATCAATGCTGAAAATGCTTTGAAGCAGTTTTTAATTAGTCAGTTTAATTGGTCAGTAAAATTCTTTCTTCTAATTGGTCCATCAAATGCTTCAAATCATTTGTAGCGAGATTTTGATCATAGAATCATTCGAAATAAGAGAACTCTGTACGAGAATTATATCCGAGAACTCGAATCAATTTCTAGCATCGTGGAACAACAAGCCTTAAAAATTAGCAGTCTAGTAGTATATTATATATAGAAGTCTCCAACTGCTCCAACCGCCATCTTACCTATGATCCAAGTGCTCCCTGAGTTAATTTGGAGCATGCGGTGCAAAGAAATCTCATAAGAATGCATCCTAGTAATTAGTGATGTTTCTGATTGGTTGTCATGAAGCATTGTTTAAGAATAAAGTTGCTAGCCTGCTCGCTAAGCGATTGAATGTGATTGATTGAATCTATAAGTAACAACCAAGCATATTTATTTGTTCGACAAGCAGGCTAGCCGCTTTATCGACTTGAATGCGCCGGGTGTCTAGTGCGATTAGCGACGGTTAGAGTCCTACATTTCAAAATTTCCCCTCCAAGAAAGATTTTACTCTATATGTGTAGTATACGTTAAGCCGGTTCTACATTAGTTGCAAATCGATCGCAGGTTTGTTGACAGCCAATCTGAAGCTTGCATTTTGAAATCAACTTCATATTGGTTGTCACAACAAATTTGTGATCGGCTTGTAACTAACGTAGAATCGGCTTTACGTGTATATTTCAAATAAAATTTTGCTTAAAAAGGACATTTTGGAACGTGAATATAATAGAGAAGCGCAATCGAGTATATTTAAAGGTTGTAATTAATCCAAAGCAAAAAATGTGTTTACATCTGTAAACGAAGTACGATTCCTATAACAGCAATGTTTCTATTGACTACAAGGAAATATTGATTCTCTTTGAAGATTACAATATATTAGGTATGGGAAAAAGTTCGTGACGTTTTTTTAATGCCATCTAACGGGAAAAATGCCACGAACTTTTTCCCACACCTAATACATATCAAGATTTAAAAATAATGATACTTACTGAAATTAGAGTCTTAGAAGACTATCCGTAGAAAGAATGGCGGAACCAATCAGAAAACGGGACAGTAGTTGCGTTTCTCTATTATATTTAGGACACTAACGGTGTAACTTATTGTAGGTCACGGTTAATTTTTATACGCTGCGGTAGCAATTCGTTGCTGTTGGTTAAAAATTTTACATAACGCACTTCTGATACAAAATACATTTTAACACATCTCGTTGAAGTTCAATCGAATGAACAACGAGCAGCAAACAATTCGAAGCCGAGAAAATCTGCAATATTTGCAAAAAATGTGAAAATTGAGTACATTTACAATGTGTACATTTTTATTTATTAAGATTTGAAGTGATGAGGATATTCTAAATTCTAAATAATTACCTGAAATAGTAGTTGTCCAAATTGTAACTGCACTAAGATCCATTCTACAATCAATCGTATGTTGTACGCATGCGCACTGGATTGTTGGCTGTCGTTGTCGGAATAGGGCCTAATCTACAATCAGTCAGGAGATGTATGTTGTGCCGTAAAAAATTAACCAATCATGGTCGATTGTTCCATGTGACAACAGACAATCGAATACGCATGCATTCGACATACGACGTATTGTAGAATAGGTTTAGAAGATCAATTTCTATCTTTTCCGACTACGATTAGATGAAATATAATCTTTGGACACATTTGGATATGTACGTACGGATAAACAGATATTTTTATACGGATGTATGGATATATTTATATTATATCATGAAGATGAAATAATTATTAATTTTGTTCGTGAAAATCATTGTAAACGCGACGTGGATTTTAAAAATGTTAGCAAAAAAAGAGATCTGTGAAAAAAAATATCCACAAATTTGAGAAACTGTTATGATATAAATATGTCAGGTAATTTTTTATTTGTTAAATTATTATTATTTAATATAAAAATATTTTGTAATTTAATTTTTTTATATCAATTTAAGAAATACCTATAAAAGCTGATATTGGATGAATTCGTGTATATAGATTTATTCAAGTTTAATAATTTGTGAATAATATATGTTTCGATCATCGTTTTGATCCTTTTCAATATTATAAAATGAATTAAATCAATACATAATAGTCAAGCAAATGGAGTCGCAAGCAAATTATTCTACAACTACATGTGTTGTCCATATGTAGTTGTGTAAAATTTGTTACAAGTCCGTATCAGTATACATTTAATTTCCATTAAATGATAAGCACTTGTAACACTGCGTTTAATAATATTGAGAGATTGCTCACTCATGTCATTAAAGTGTCAGCAAATGACATCGAGCGAACAATCTCTCAATATTACTAAACACAGGTTACGTAAGTAATCTTATTTTCATAATTTGCGTCCAAATTAATAATAAATTCGAATCTATTCAATGTTTCAATATCCATTCTTTACATTTGTTCCAACCTTTCGACTTCGATCAATGACTCAATTGTAGAATAGCAAGTCGTATTCATGTGCGACATACAACATATGACAAAGGACTAGCAAACCCGACATCGACATACGACTGATTATCTAACAGTTACTACAAGTTTTTACTTTTAATTTTCGAGCTGAGCAAATAAAAGACACATATTTGAGATTAAACTTTAATATATATGGTGTTGCCATGTATGTATGTTGTTTCTTTTCATGCGCAGCAAATGCAACGGAAACAATTACATATGAAAAATTTGCATGTGACATTTTTGCTGCCGTGTGTTGCGCATGAAAAGGCATCTTAAGGTTGGGTTCATATTTTGACGGAAAAGTGAAAAAGCGGAAGCTAATCGGAACTCGCAGCAATAGGCGGTTTCGGTTGTCTTTCCGCAAGGGTGATTTGGTTACCGCTTTTCCGCTTTCAAGGTGTGAAGGCCTAAGAATTAACTATAAGTTTGTTCGCCTCGCAAGCTCCAAGTTCTAACATGCTCCTACCACAGCTCCTACTCACTCTATTAAATGCATTGGAATGAGTAAGAGCTATGATAGGAGCATATTACAACATGTTGGAGCATGCGAACAAACTTTGTGAGTTGTAAAATTAGGAGTGTGGTCGAGTTGCCACTTCGAAATTGACCAATTAAAAATGCTTGGAAGCATTCGTAGCAACTTGACTGCACCTTAGGCCTTCGTTCTGCTGAAGGAGATGTCAGATTAAATATAAACATTTATAGTTACATTATAAATGTTTTTATGTTGCTATGTAATGAATAATATTATATAAAATATAATTTTAATAATTTTTGGTAATTATAGAAGAGATGATTGCCAATGAATGTTATTCGTGCAATTTCTATTATACATAATTCTACTCCAAATAAATTATAACCTATACAGTGGAGTGTGTAGACAGTAACGCTCGAGTTTGGGGTGGCTACGCCATCCCGAACAAAAAAAAAATAACATCCTAGTTTGAGGCCTAATCGCCTAGAAGTTAGCCTAGACAGTGTCCGCTTGGAATATTCCTAATCCATGAAAACAGTGGGGTGTGAGAATAATTTTTTTAGAAGCAGTAAAAGCCCATTTGGAATTTATAGTGTGAGGATAGTATTTCTAATTCCGCGTAAGATTCAGACTAATCTCCATAATCATCAACTTTAACGCTTAATATTTCGATTTATGGGACAGAGTGATTCTTTTTTGCTATATTTGTTCATTTCGTGCAAAAATGCATCGAATGAGTATAATTTCATTAAAATTGGTGAAATCGGCCGTTTCCTTCACAATTACCTAATTTTTATATAGATATTGACAAGATGGTAACCTGTGCAGCAGTTGGTTGTAAGAATTCATCTAACAAAGGTGTTAAAATGAATTGTTTTCCAAAAAATGCTTATCGCCGAAACGTATGGATAAGAAATGCCAAATTGGAAAATAAAATATTAAACCGTTCTGCAGCATTATGTGAGGTATTTTATTTATATTTTTTTTTATTTATATATTTTTATTTATACAATTATATATTTAATTTTATATTTTATTTTTAAATATTTGCTA